CATTTCTCGTGTCTCTTGTTCCCCAAATTCCCACTCCCTCCTCCAGGGCCTGCTTCGACGATCCCGCGGGCCGGGATAGTGTGCTAACAAACAGCACTTGTTTGCCGATGTATACTAGCCCTAGTAGGTGGCCAACAAGTGGCACACAGCAAATAAATTTGCACATAGTTCAAGGGTGCTTGAATGTGAACTGGTACAAAGCAGGTGCCTGATCAATGTTGGCTGTGACAAGTGCTTGATATAGATGTGTATATAACAGGGGTCTAATAAATTCTATTTGTATTTGATAAACGTTGATGGACACAAAAGTATTCAGTACACCTCTTTAGTGAGCACAGTGTGTGTTTAATAGATGTAAGCAGGCAGTAGGTGCTTAACGAGGTTTTGCTGGCTCAAAATAAATGCACAGACCAGGCGCGGTGGCTCACACCTGTAATCCCAGCACTGTGGGAGGCTGAGGTGGGCAGATCACGAGGTCAGGAGATCGAGACCATCCTGGCTAACACGGTGAAACCCCGCCTCTACTAAATATACAAAAATTGACAGAGCGAGACCCTGTCTCTAAAAAAAAAAAAAAAGGCCAGGCGCAGTGGCTCATGCCTGTAATCCCAGCACTTTGGGAGGCCAAGGTGGGCGGATCACGAGGTCAGAAGATCGAGACCATCCTGGCTAACACAGTGAAAACTCGTCTCTACTAAAAATACAAAAATCAGCCGGGCGTGGTGGTGGGCGCCTGTAGTCCCAGCTACTTGGGAGGCTGAGGCAGGAGAATGGCATGAACCCAGGAGGTGGAGCTTGCAGTGAGCCGAGATGGTGCCACTGCACTCCAGCCTGGGCGACAGAGAGAGACTACGTCTCAAAAAAATAAATAAAATAAAAATAGGAGCACAAATATTGGCACACAGTAGGTGCCCAATAAAAGGTGGTGGATGCACAGTAGTTGCTCAATAAAGGGCCGTGGGCACAGAGTAGGTGTTCAGTAAAGGATGATGGGGAGGGCACTCAGTAGGGCAGCCTCTCACTTTCCCTGCACCAGGCCTCCACCCCGGACTCACCTCACCAGGGGGGATCCCCAGGCACAAACGGTCAACAGCTGGCATCCTCTGCCCATGGTATACCTGGAAGAGTGCAGGTCCTTCAGAAAGGTGAGTGGGCCAGTGGGAGCCCCCCCAACCCAGCAGTCAACCTGGCCACACCTACCTTGGTCAAGTTCCTCAGCACCAACACATCTCCCTGGGTGGCTCCTCGGACCACCCGCTCCCGTTCACGGGCTACATCCTCATCCTCCAATCCCAGGGGTGGCAGGGACCTCACCTTGGGTCTGGGGACAGAACATTTGTGGGCCTAAAGTAGGTCCTTGGCCCCTGCCACCCTCTCTGTAGACCTGACTAACTGTGGCAGGAGTTGGCTTCGGTGCTGCAGCAGCAGTGTGAAGAGAAGGAAGACGGGCCCCTGTATCACCATGGCCAAGAGGTTCTTGCCGACCACCTCCCAGCGCAGGGGTGACTCGAACTGCCTGTCTCCTGTGGATATAGAAAGGAGGGACTGGGTCCATGAGAGTCTTGGTTTCTGGCCCCTTCACCGTCCATGTCACTCTGGATTCTTAAGGGAAAGGAGCACAAATTGGATAGGCCACTCAGCTGGAGTCTAATTGGCATAGAAAACAGAAGTTTTATCACCTTCCTTAATTAGAGGCTTAGGCCTCTTGTGATGTAATCTAAGACAGAATTAGCTTTATATGGCTGCTTTCTTTCTTTTTTTTTTTTTTTGAGATCGATTCTCGCTGTGTCGCCCAGGCTGGAGTGCAGTGGCGCGATCTTGGCTCACTGCAAGCTCCGACTCCCGGGTTCATGCCATTCTCCCGCCTCAGCCTCTGAGTAGCTGGGACTACAGGTGCGCACCACCACGCCCGGCTAATTTTTTGTATTTTTAGTAGAGACGGGGTTTCACCGTGTTAGCCAGGGTGGTCTCGATCTCCTGACCTTGTGATCCGCCCACCTCAGCCTCCCAAAGTGCTGGGATTACAATATGGCTGCTTTCTTGTACCTCCAACTTGGCCCAATCTTGCGGCCACCTAAGAATCCTGGCTGTCTCCCTGGCGGGGCTGTTTGTCTCCACTGTGTATAATTAACTGTAGGTCTCCAAGGGTGCTAGCTATCTGTAGCTATGGCCCCACCTGACAGGAAGTTCTCACCCAAGCGCTCAAAGGCATCAGCCATGGCCTGGTTCCGCACCATGTCGATGAGCCCCCGGCCCAAGCAGAAGTGGGGGAAGATAAGGAAGACCTGTTTCAAGATCCGGCTCACCTCCTGCAGCTTCTGCTCAAGGGCAGCAAGAGGGATGTTGGTTAGGGGCTGAGTCCAACAACCCAACCCAGCCCAAGCCCCAGCCTCATGGTGCCCCACCTGATCAGAGAAGAGCTCAAGCACAAAGGTGGCCATACTTCCATTGATGCCAATAAAGAGGTTTATGCAGGTGAGTACCACATAGGCCGTGCTGGGCACGGAGAAGAAGAAGGAGGCTGGGTACATGAGCGGTGTGATCGACCAGCTGAAGGGACAATAGGAGTCACTGGAGTAACTACTCAGACTGAGAAGCCCAGAGAGGAATAAAAATCTCCATTCCCATCTTCTCTGCCTTAGACCTCGACATTTTCACCCAAAGCACATTTCTGTTTTGTTTTTTTTCTTTCTCTCTCTTTCTATATTTTTATTTTTTGAGATCGAGTCTCACTCTTTCGCCCAGGCTGGAGTGCAGTGGTGCGATCTTGGCTTGCTGCAAGCTCTGCCACCTGGGTTCACGCCATTCTCCTGCCTCAGCCTCCCGAGTAGCTGGGACTATAGGTGCAGGCCACCACGCCTGGCTAATTTTTTTATATTTTTAGTAGAGACGGGGTTTCACCATGTTAGCCAGGATAGTCTCCATCTCCTGACCTTGTGATTTGCCTGCCTCGGCCTTCCAAAGTACTGGGATTACAGGCGTGAGCCACCATGCCCAGCCCTTTCTTTCTTTTTAGAGAAAAGGCTCTTTATGTTGCCCTCCTGACCTCAAGCAGTCCTCCTGCCTCAGCCTCCCAAAGTGCTGGGATTACAGGCGTGGGCTGCCTTAGACCTCTATTAATATGAGTCAGGACAAGATGAGCTTTTAAGGCCACCTTGGCACACCACTGAATTGGATCACACATGGTATCACCCCAGACCTCCATATCCTCTCCTTGGGAGCTGCTGCAGAGTTCTCTCAGCAGCATTGATGGGGAAGGCAGTAAGGGGCAGTAAGAATAGGCCCTGAGGGACTGGGGTCCTCACCCATATAGTAGTAGCAACAGCAGGAGAGCAGGCAGGTTGGCAGGGGCCACATATGCCCTCTGCTGGAAGGCCAGAAAGATGAGCACCACAATGCACGCTGGCACCAAATAGTTACACTGCATTGGAGATGGCAGTTACCTTATCAGTGTGAAGGGGTGGGGACTACCACCCTCAGCCCTATTCCCACCCTGACCTCCTTGCTTTTTGAGAAGGAGGACACAAAGTCTCCCACAATCCTTAAGGCTTTACCCAGGCCATCTTGGACAAGCCCCTGCCTAGAAGGGGCCAGACAGGGCAGTGGAAAGCAGTGGCTGGGCCCCCACCCATCCAAGCAGCCCCCGCACCATGTCCCAGAGAAAGTTGCCTAGCCAGTAGAGGGTGGGGGACAGGCCCCCCATGAGCTGCAGGTGCTTGGCTCGGGTGACTCGCTCCTCAATGAGGACAAGAGTGAAGCTGGCCGGGACGAAGGACATGGCAAAGACCACACAGATGGAGACGAGGACATCCACCGAGGAGGCCATCCTGGAGGTGAGTACATGAGGGCTATTGTAGGGTGAGGGCGCATGGGTTGTTCAGAGCAGAGCTGAATACGCCATTGATGGGACAAAGGTCTACGGGGCAGTCAGCAGTGGCAGAGATGGTGGGGGCAATTTAGGGATGACAGTGCCTGGGATTTGGCAGCAGAGGTTGTACAGGTCTCAAGACAGGATAAAGTTTGGTGGGACGAGGATGTGTTGGGGAGGCTGGGGCCCGTGGAGCCTGAGGAGGTCCCATTTCCCTGGTTTAGGGAGCAGAGGAACAGTTTCTGTCCCCCATTTATAAAGCAAGAGTATGTCAGGGTTCAAATCCAGTTCCCACCACCTCAAACGACAGAGAAACGGAGAAAGGGTAGGACATGAAGGGTGGAGGGACTCACAGTGCGGCCTCAGACAGCTGCTCCTTGGTGAGGTTCAAGGGGTGGTTGAGTGTGGTGATGCTGTGGGTGTGGCGGGCCGAGCCTGGGGGCAGGTGAGCACGTAGGAGTGCGTTGTTGGCTCGGTTGACAAAGGCCACCATGGAGTGCCAACCTTTGTTGTTGAACCAGATCTGGGTGGGGGTCAAGGTCATAGGGTCAGGAAAATGGGGTTGGACCTTGCTGTGACAGGACACCCACCTGTCACCCCCAGTTCCCACCTTGAGGCTGTCCTGAGAATCCAGGCTGTGAGCCCAGGCTGTGAGGTTATTCAGGACACGGTCGAGGGTCCCACCAGGCAAGGGGCTCAGCAGCGCCCACAACTCCTCCACTGAGTGGCCCAACTCTTGGCCCGAGGGCAGGCTTGGGTCTCGGCCCCCCAGCGAGAATCCTCCATACCTATGAGGCCATGCAGGCAAGGAAGGGGAGCTGAGGGCCGGGGGGCTGGGAGAGCTCCCAGGGGGCAGGCAGAGGGCACGGGAGTAGAACTGGGGCAGGGGACCCCAAGCTAGACCCCTCCTCACCTGACCTCATTCACCCACTTCTTAGTCTTCAGGCTGTGGGAGAGACGGACAGAGACACAGGCAGAGACAGGGATGTGGGACAGAGAGAAACGGTGAGAGGGGCCTGCAGAGTCAAGGGTGGGACAAAAAGAGAAAAGAAGGCCAGGCGCGGTGGCTCCCGCCTGTAATCCCAGCACTTGGGGAGGCCAAGGCAGGTGGATCATCTGAGGTCAGGAGTTCGAGACCAGCCTGGCAACACGGTGAAACCCCGTCTCTACTAAAAATACAAAAATTAGCCAGGTGCACTGGCACATGCCTGCAGTCCCAGCTACTTGGGAGGCTGAGGCAGGAGAATTGCTTGAACCTGGGTGGTGGAGGTTGCAGTGAGCTGCGATCGCGCCTCTGCACTCCAGCCTTGGTGACAGAGGGAGACTCCATCTCAAAAAAAAAAAAAAGAGGAGAGGAGGGCACACAGGACCCCCAGCCCAGAGCCCCAGGCTGGGCATCCAACCTCTCCTCCACTTCCCCCAGTACCATACCAGCCCTACCAAGCCAAGGACCCACGCTATAGCCAGGGAAACTGAGTCCCGGGGCATGGCTCACCCCTGGCGCACCAGGCGCGGGTAGGTCTTGACCAGGAAGTCAGATAGGTTCCGGCCCGTCAGGTTCTGAATCACTTCCCCGGAGCTGCTCACTGCCTGGGGCGGAGGGGGACCACCAGCTGCAGCCGGGCAGTCGGGCAACAGGCGCCGGGCGCCGGGCCGGCTACACTGGCAGTCTGGAGAAGGAGACTCTGGGGTCCAGTTGCCACTGGCCAAGACCTTGGCCACTTCAGCAGGAACTTCTGGCGCCGAGAACCTGCAGACAATGGGCTGTGCACACTCAGGGGCCCGGCAGGGTCAAGGTGCGGGTCTGTGAGCACCCAGCTTCTGGGGGCTCCTGGAGACACAGAGGCTCCCAGCTCCCAGGTGGGCACAGGGGATGCTTCGGGTGCCCCCTGAGGCCCCTTGGCCAGGGACCAGATGGGAAAACTGAGGCCAGAGAGGGGCAAGGTCCAGGCCAACGAGATGCCCTCACCTGTTGGAGCTATTCTGCACGGAGGGCTCCTCCAGTCCTGCCTCCTGCAGCAGTGCCTCAAGCAGCCGGGCACGTCCAGGGTCCCCCGGGGCGTCCTCGCTGTGTGTGAGGGGAGATGGAGGGTCAGGGCTGTACCCCCAGATCCTTAGTCTTCCTGCCACCAGCCCCTTCCTTCTGCACCCACCTGAAGAAAGACACCTGAGCACCGTACATGGTGGGACTGAGCCGCAGAGCCGGGTAGTGCCCGAAAGGAGGCACGATGAGGCTGAACACAAGGGCCAGGCCCACAAAGAGGGCAGGCAGCACGATCTGGGGGACCAGTCCATCAGCTGCTGCTTCCACCCACCTTCCAGGCTTGCTTGCCCCTGTCCCTGCTCATGCTCTACAACCACCCATGGCTCCCCAGTGCCCTCAATAAATGTGCTCTGGGTTGGGAATACACACGAGGGTAAGGGTTTGAATTAGGCCACTGAGTGGATGGCCAGGGTAGGGAACTCAGGGACTCCCATGCGACTCCCTGGTGCTGGCCCCCCTCACCTGCGCGAACAGGCCGCGGCGGCTGCGGCGGGCAAGCAGAAAGCGCTTGAGAAGCAGGGCCTGGAGCTGCTGGCGGGTCAGTGCCCAGCCCTGTACCCGGCCCACGGTGTCTGGCCCAGAGCCCTGCAGGGCCTGGGTCTCTGGGGCTGACCCAGCTGTGAGGGATGAGAGGGTCAGTGCTCACGCTGCTATGGGTGGGGGGCTGGGAGAACCACAGGGCCACTGGGGAGGACTTACCTGGCTCCCCATTCTCCAGCGCTGTCTGTTCCGGTGGCATCTTGAGCCGCAGGGTCACATCTAGGCCAGCAATGCCTGTGCACGGGTGCTGCCCACAGCTGCCATCTGCAGGGCCATTGGGGTCAGGGTCAAAGTTGAAGATCACAGATTGGGGGATTAGAAATCAGGCATAGGGGTAAACGCTATGCCTTGGACCAGACTAAGCCGGGGATGGGAACTTGGTTTCAGTCCCACTCTGGATCGGGGTCAGGGGTCAGGGAGCTGCGGCCGCACCCTCCGTATTTGTGTCCGCAGCATAGTCCTCCACCACCTTCAGGAAGATCTGGGGAGACAAGCGGGGGGCTCAGAGCCTGGACACCCACAGGGGGAACTGGGGGCTTATGAGCCCCCCACCCCTCCTACACCATGGGTCCCCCAGACCTTCCCAAGGGACGTCTGAGCCACCAGAGCTCCTCATGTGCCATGCCTCCTCCCTGAATGTCCTTGCTGCTCATAAACACACTGCTATTCATCCTTCAAAACACCACCTCCTCCAGGCAGCCCTCCTTCTGGCCCCACCTCACCAGCACCCAGGCCTCACACCTCCTCGAGGCTGGTGTCGGAGATCCCGTAGCCAGTGAGGCTCAGCTCTGCCAGCCGCGTGTCTAGCTCTTGGAAGAGTGTGGCGAAGCTGCCGTCATGGGCACCCGTGTAGGGCAGCACCAGCACCAGTTCGTGTGGCAGCTCCTCCACCAGCTGTGTCCCGGGCACCCAGTGCTGCACCAGGGCCAGCAGCTGAGGAGTGCCTGTGTGGACAGAGGGGTGCTTCAGAGAGCCCCAGCTCACGCCCCACCCCAGTCTCCCTGGGGAAGAGGCGTTGGTGACCTGTGAGGGGACTGTCCCTGCAGGCAGAGATCAAGGTTAAGAACTTGGCCGGGCGCGGTGGCTCACGCCTGTAATCCCAGCACTTTGGGAGGCCGAGGCGGGCGGATCACAAGGTCAGGAGATCGAGACCATGGTGAAACCCCG